TCTCAGCCTCCTGTCGGCGTTCAGTTTGTCTCCTGATGCTGAGATCGACGTGTTGCTGCCCTGCTATGGTAAAGAACAGTTCAGAAACTATATGAAATGGGAAAAACGTTATTTATTAACTGATTAAGTCGTGTTTTAGATTGTTCTTGAAAAACTAATCAGTCACGGCTGATGGGTGCTTTTTACAGCAGACAGCCGCTCCGTCTCATCCAGGTACTGCGAACCCCCACTAACCTACCCTAACCCAGACCTACCCTAACCCAGACCTACCCTAACCCAGTACCCGCTTACTTTCACCCCTGCTCTGCTTAGACATGATAAGGTGTTCACGTTTCTTAACCCCATTGCACTATTCTTATCTAGCTAAACTGCACGGTGCAAAACTGATGTTGGACTTTAGTTTATGCGCTGCATAGATTTCCTCTGTGCGCTGAGAATGTGTGAGCAGTGGGTGATTTGTGCAAACGGGCAGCTTAGAGGGAACATTGGTCATGGCAATAGACTGGCCCTAGACTTGACCTTCAGTCGCTACTGATTTACACACAGGAAGACCAGAGTCAGGCTGCGAATGAGTTTCCTCTCCAGGTGAGACAAACCGACTGCAGGTGGGTGGCTACCTAAGACTAAACTGAATCCTGGCACACAGCCTGAACAAAATGAGCCCTGCCTGATGAGCCCTACCTGTGGGGAGGCCAGCATCAGGCTCAGACTCCAGGCCAGCAGCAGCAGGCAGCGGTTCCTGCGGTGCGCGCTCAGGGCGTCCAGCGGATGCAGGATGGCGTAATGGCGGTCCAGGGTGATGACGACCAGGATGAAGGCAGCGGCGTGCATGGCGAACAGCTTCAGGAAGCAGAGGAGTTTGCAGAGCGCCTCGCCACCATACCACTGCACTGTGATGTTCCATGCCGCATCCAGAGGCATCACCACAAACGTCATCATCAGGTCCGCCGCTGCCAGGCTCAGCATCAGCGGCCTCAGGTGAGACGACAGCCGGCGGCCACGCCCACACCAGATGCTGGCCAGCAGCGCCAGGTTGCTGCAGGCAGCAAACAGGAAGAGCACTGAGGTGGCGCCGACCCGGAACTGAGCAGCTCGGGTGAAACTGGGAGGCTCCCAGTCGGTGAGGGAAGGTGGGGGTGATGCACTGGTGGGCGGAGTCAGAGATGACACGTTTCCTGACATCCTGAGGACAAGGGGAAAAAGAGCGGTGTGAGCAGATCTGGCTCAGCCCTGAACTGCGTCTGACAGGCTCAGACAGCGGGTCCACTCAGAGCCACGCCGGGTTCTAACGGTTCTGATGAAAGCAGAATCACATGCTGAGCTGTGATTGGACAATTTAGAGCACCTGTCCTCTGTCATCTTTTCTGCAGTTGGAGGTCCATCAGAACTTTTTGTCCACTTCCTGTCCTCAAAGACTGCTGGCAGGTTTCCTTTCAGAAAGAGGAAGGGAACCTGAGGGTTTCCATGGCAACAACTTCTCACCTCTGAGGAGAAATCAGGCGATAATCATGATGGCAGGAGAACCTTGACTAGAGCCTGGTTCTGAAGATGGAGCGGGTCCAGGAGCCATTCATCTCCTGCTGGGTAATCTGGCGGTGATCTGACACCGGTCAGACCCAAATCCATCCAGATCGGACAGAGCAAAGGCGCCTCGGTCTCCACAATCAGATCAGCTTTCAGCAGCCTGACGCTATTTTTAGCTGCTGCCGCTCTGTGTTCACCGTGTCGTCATGGCAACCTACTCCTGCGCGACCGCATTGGAGTCGCCGACTTCTCCGACTCTGGAGCCACTTCCAGTTTATAAATCACAGGAGACGAGACGGACCAACATTTTAATCCAGATGTTTCACTTTCTCCACCAGAACCGTCAGAACCAACAGAACCGTCAGAACTCCTCAGCCTGTCTGTTTGAACCAAACTCTGAAGAATCAAACTTGATGCTTGGAGAACCGGCAGAACTGGCAGGTTCTACTGATCCTTAGATCCAACTCAAACTAACTGCTCAGACATCCAAGAGACAGCACAGAACATCAACCTGGTGGTTCTGTTCACCTGGTGACCAGAACCACCAGAAGAAGGAATTCAGCATCATCTGGATGCTTTTATTGTGAAGGAGTTGGTGTTGTTACCTGCTCAGCAGTTCTGAATTGGTTCTGCTCCTCAGGCCCGAGTCCGGAGTTCTGCTCCTTTCCTCCTCATGTTCCCCTAGAACTCCGACCCAAACAGAACCAGCAGAACCAGGTCTGGCCCAGATTACGATCCACAGCAGCTGATCCAAAACAGAGCAGGAGAACTGGAGAGACCCGGAGACTGCAGCAAGGGGGCGGAGCCTAAAGCTGCTGCAAGGGGGGGCAGTGTGTGTGTGTGTGTGTCTCAGTGAAAACATTCAGGTGAGACGCAGCAGGAAGAATTTATTGATGAAGCTCAGGCCATCCTCTTCCTCATCGTCTTCCTCCTGCATCATCAGGTGTGAATGAATCAGAACCATCCGGGTCCAGGGTTGGGTAACCTAATCAGATTGTATTTAAAATGTTTATTATGAATAGTTAGTCCAGATTTACCAAAGTTAAATGTTTTCAGATTAAATTAATCTGTTATAAAATATTAACTGAAACAGGAAGTTTCTAAAAAGGTTCAATGATCTGTGCTGATTATAATGTAAGGTAATTTTATTTATACAGCACATTTTCAGCAACAAGGCAATTCAAAGTGCTTAAGGTCAGCTAGGTGGCGCTGTCTCTACTGGTGTCTTCCAGCTGCTGCAGCCTTTGATGGGGAAAACATTCTGCCAACTACACAGCGCCCCCTGGTGGCCGACCTGCTTCTAGTTTTTATAAAATCCTCTGGGAATTACAAAATACAATATTTTTATCTGACTCCCAGATTCAAACACAGGTAACCTGGTTACCAGGTTAGCTGGTTACCAGGTTACCTGTGCCTCTTTTCCGCCGGCTCTATTTCAGCAACCGGACCCGGCTCAGCCTGACCTTACTCCAAAGCAGGGACGGTCTCGAAAAGGCCGGTGGAAATGCTCACAAAGCGAGCCGAGCCGGTGGAAAAGGGGGATAGGTTACCTGGTTACCTGGGTGTCGGGAGGTAAATCTGCAGCAGGAAGCCATGATGGATGCAGAGATGCAGGTCATGTGATGAAACATCTCAATCCTGATTGTCTGACATCATCAGTCCACTGTCCAATCAGAAGGCTACATCAGAGAACAGAGGCGGGACCTCCAACTGGCCTCAGGTGAACCTGACTTCCTGAGATCACCACCCGACTCCACCTGCTCCGGTGAAGAAGCTTCACTGAAACACAAAGAGTTCATTTCAATAATTCAAAAGCTTTATTGTCCTTTAAAAAAACAACAATCAGCAGGTGTCAGTTACCTGTCCGTGTGAGGGTTCGCTCTGTCCAACCACAGCTCACCTGGAAACACAAACAGGTAGCTCACACCTTCAGCTCCAGTCGACCTGCTGCTCAGGTGTAGCAGGTGTGTAAAGTCCAGGTAACTCACCCTGCTGAAGCTCCTCTGGTGGTTCTGAGCTGAAACACAGATTTTGTGGTCACACCTGGTTTTCTACACCTGGATTTCTCAGATGAACCAATGAAACGCTGTTATCTTACAGGTGTCGTCCAGGTGTAACTCCGCCCTCTGGATCAGCAGCTGCCTGTCTACCTGAGCTCTTCTCAGCTTCTGCTCCTGAGCACAATCAGGTGTAACCATAGCAACAAAAAAAGAAAATAATAAAGGTAAAACTTACGTGGAGACTCTGCCCTTTGCTCATCTAAATGCTGATTGGCTGCCAGACGTTGTGCCACGTCAAGCTTCCTGTGAGTTCAGAAATGAGACAGAATGAGACGCGGCGCTGAGCTCTGGGTTCCCTCTGATCCACAGACACTCACCTGACATCCTGGTGACCAGGTGAGCTGTGGGGCTGGGGCAGATGTGGGCGTGGCCTGTTGGGGCGTGGCCTCTGAGGAGAGGAGAAGGAAAACATTTGCTGATTTCTAACATCAGACACCTGAAGCTGGATGGGTGGTGCTACAGGTGAGGTGCTGCAGGTGAGGTGCTGCAGGTGAGGTGCTGCAGGTGAGGTGCTGCACCTGTGTCACAGTCAGGCTGAGCTGCAGAGCTGCAGTCAGACGCTCCACCAGCCGGTCTTGAACACCTTCATCCTCCTGAGGACAACACCACCAACTGGTCATGATGATCTGTGGGCCGATCTCTGATTGGCTCAACTTCTCTCATTCAGCGCATAGCTCAGATCTCAGGGTGACCTTTCACCTCCAGGTGAGACGGGTGCGCTACCTTACAGTGAGAGAGCGCGCTCAGAGCCTGTTTGTAGAGCTCAACGGCTTTCTTCAGCTTCTTCTGCCTCAGGTAACACTCAGCCAGACGCTCACACACCTGGACCTCAGCCAGGCGGTCGCCTGCACAGGTGGAGACACACAGGTAGCACACCTGGTCCTTATTAACAGATACAGGTTACACATCTATCCTTTGTTAGCACACCTTCTCTTGGTACCTGCGTCTCTGAATCCCTGTAGAGCCAGGATGAAGCTCTCTGCTGCCTCCTGGTCATCCCCCAGGTGACTGGAGGCGATGGCCAGGTTACTGAAACATCGAGCCTGATCACCACGGCAACCTTGAGAGCCTGCAGGTACACACACCTGAACGTCACACTGAGAACAGGTAAAGGTCTATTGAGAGGTCAACCCTCAGCAGATTAAGCTTCAAGTGTTTCACAGGAACACCTGAGTTGAACGTTTCCATGGCAACGCTCACCGTAGAGCCGCGCGGCCAGCCGGTGCAACTCCAACGCTGAGCTGAAGTCGCCCGCGCCATTCAGTGCCGCTCCCAGGTTGTGCAGCACTTTGGCCAGCAGGGGGGGGCGGTGAGCTGCAGGCTCCACAGCTCGTTGGAGGCAGCTCACCGCCTCCTGGAAGCACCTGATGCGGCAGTAGGCCACACCCACCGACAGGTACAGCTCACCTGGACAATATCAGGGAAGTTACTGAGCGGCTGCTGCAGGAAGTCTCTGGGTTAGGAAAGGTGATTACCCAGAATGCTCGGGTCGCTGACACTGCTGCTCAAACTCAGACACTCTGTCAGCACGCTGCTGATGTCATCATGGTTGGACAGATCTGACTGAACCATGTGACTTCCTGCCTCTTTAAGGGCAGCGGCTGCAGAGTCCAACATGGAGGCCATTTTATAACTCTCTGCTGCGCGGAGGAAACTCTGCACCGCCTGAGGCCAGTCCTGCAGCAGACATGACACAAAACACCTGGAAAACCACAGAAATCTAATTTACAGGAAAACTGACACTCAGTTGAATATTTCTCATCAGGTTCTGGGTTCTGGTTCTGACCCAGTCCTGACCCAACTTTGGTTCTGACCCGGTTCTGACCTGGGTTCTGCTGCAGCAGCGGCCCAGCTCCATGCAGGCGTCGCCCTCATTCCCTCCATCTCCCTGCGACCGGTAAAGCTGAGCGGCCCGCAGGAAGTGGGCGGCAGCCTCCTGGTACTTCCCCAGTGCATTGTGGGCCAGCGCCGTGTTGAACTGCAGGTCTGGAAGCCGTTCCGCTTTGGGACCGGGCCGGTTCCGGCGCAGGAGGTCCAGTCCTCTCCGAGGTTGGCCCGCCTCCACGTAGGCGGCGCCCAGGTTGAAGGAGCAGGCGCGCACAACCCGTGAGTCCTGCAGCTGGACTCACAGGGGCAGGATGGGAAATGGAGTTCTCACACCACCAAAGGACTACAAGCCCCTACACACCACCAGCTAATGGGCCAGCAGTGGAATCTCACCTGTCTGACTCACCTGTGCAGCAGCCTGCAGCGCCTGCTTGAAGCAGCGCAGCGCGTCCTGCGGCCGGCCGGCCTGCAGCGCTCCGTGACCGGCCCATGTCCGGTCCTCCACCTCTCCTGTCTTCTTCTGCTGCCTCCTGTTGCTCCTCTTCACCTGCTCCTCACCTGGAGGAGACTCCTCAGAAGCCATGTTGGATCTGCAGCAGGTGGGCTCACCTGGCTGAGAGGAACAGATGTTTCATTCCTGGAATCTTATTCAGAACCAGAACCCAACCTGATGAGTCACAGCTCCAGGTGACACTCCACAGATGTTCACCAGGTGTGAAGCTGAGCTGACTTAGATCACACAGGGCCAGGATGAGCTGAAAACATCTCTGAAACACAAGGAGCGCCGGGTGTCACCTGTCCAGCGAAGCTATTCTCTCCAGCTGAGCTGAGCTTACCCAGTGAATGTTTGAGCCGTATTTGGACATGCAGCATTTCTAACTGCAGCTGCCATGTTGTGCCTGGAAAACACGGACTGCCCCTTTAATGCCGCCAGCTGACTGTAATCTCCTTTAATTTGCTTGTTTTCATGTAAAGCACTTTGAATTGCCTTGTTACTGAAAAGGTGCTATATAACCTACCTTACCTTATGTAACACCTATGGGCTATGCAGCTAACTGCGGCTACAAGAGCATCAGAAGACGGTTCTTTTAAGGAGCCTGAGGTGTGAATGAAGACAGGATTCAGTAGTTTTAGTTTTGGTGTATATATTAGTGATTTGAATAAAAAAATAATTACAAATGCATAATGAGAGACAAATTGACTCAAAATAAATCAATCCCAACATCATAAAGTTCTTGTCCTTTTTCCTAGCTCGCCATCCTTAGATCCAGAAGAGGGTCTGATCCATCAGGGGGAAAAATCCCAACCGAAAAGGCCAGAAAACCCATTAAGTCTTTTATCAAAAAACAATTATGTGGAACCATACAAATGAAATAAATATTACATTCAAATGCAATTATTAAATTCCTAATAAAGCCATAAACATTTCAATCAGGTTAAATTAACCATAATTTAAATAAAGTAAAACAAAAAGAATATCAATCATATTTCAAACTAATCAATTTAAAGTTAAAAAGTTGAAATCAAAGTTAAAGTCAAAGTGTACTTTCAAAATATCAATCAAGAACAACAAAATAAATTGTTAAATACTCAAGCAGTGAGAATAAGAAAAAAAATTAAATAAATATACTGCGCAATATCAGCTTAAATGTAGCTACATCCCATTTTGATCAATTTCATTTGAAACTCAATATCAATACAAAAAGTGCCAGAACACGCACAAAATCAGCAATCAGGTTACCTTCCGGAACAGAGTGGGGTTACTAAACCACAATCCGCTGCGGCAATGCCTGAGGCCCAGCTAACCAACGCCAACGGTTCTAATAAAACAGCGCTCCAATGAGCAATCAAGCAAAAGTTTCATGCTAAAGCAATAGTGCTATCAGATGACAAACTCACCAAAGGATCAAATCAGTGGATGCTAGTGATGGGTCTGGCAACACCGATGCCTCAGCACTGAGGGATATTGTTGTTCTGGT